CCTATTATAAAAGTGGTAATATATCAATAAGTAGTAATTCCATTGAGATTTTATTAGAAACATCATTTTTCTACATCACATAAATGTTAGCTAAAAATTAATGGTAGCACTAGGTCAAACAGAATATAATTATATCTCTTTAATTATTACCTTGTTGTTATTTATGTAGCCTAAAATATAGGTATTAAATTAATAGAAAAATAATTTATGATTCAAATAACATTGAAGTGAACTTTAATCTTCTTTACTTCATTAATACCTATTATTAAAACAACACAAAATGCAAGAAAAAAGAAAAAAATTATAGTTACTTAAGGAAACATTTCTCCTTTTGAAGACTGATAAGACTGACATCACTCCAAGTGCAATTTTAAAATTATACTTTTTTAAGTATCCTTTGAAAAGCAATGTTTTGAGAGTTTCATAACATATGCATGACTATACTATTTTCTGAAGCAAGGCTGAAAACCATCTTTTGATTTTTCTTAAGCAGTGTCTTTCCTGTTTTATTATTCACTGGATAGATACAAGGTTTCAAATTTCTATGACACTAAAGCCAACACTATGGTGTGAGTCACACTCGCTGCCATTCTGGAGGGCACAGGTAGTAAAGTCTGGCCACATCCTTTGTGTTTTCTCCTAAGCATGCTTTTCCTTCTTCACAAAAGGACCAGAATGATAGTTTCCCAAATTTTAAAGTTCTATTTCTCTTGTAAGTTCTCTTTTCTTGCATTTTCCTAAAGGATTTTAAAAAGTCACTCCTTAAAACTTTGCCTAGAGATTTTTCCTGAAAATATCCCATTTCATCACTCATGTTGCTGCTTCTACAAAACACTAGGACACAATTTGACCAACTATTTGCTACTTTAAAAAAAGATGACTTTTGTTTTAATTTTAATATCATAGTCCCTCAGTTTGGTCTGACATACAGTGAGAAATAAATTTCTTTGTTTATAAATCACCCAATCTCAGGTATTTTTATAGCATCCTGAAAAGACTAGAAATTGATATATCTTCAAAAAAAAAATAAGATAGTTGGGAATCAATTTAACAAAAGAGGTGAAAGATCTATACAATGAAAACTGCAGAACTCTAAAAAAAGAAATCAAAGAAGACCTTAGAAGATGGAAATATCTACCTTGCTCTTAGATAGGCAGAATTAATATTATCAAAATGACCATACTACCAAAAGCACTACACAGATTTAAAGCAATTCCAATCAAAATCTCGATGTCGTAGAAATAGAAAAAGCAATCATTAAATTCATCTGGTAAAATAA